CCAAAAAAATGAGTTCGCGTGTCACCTCTGACACGTGTGTCATAGGTTTGCCATCACTGACGTAGGATCTCTGCCCAACTCGCTGAAAGGCCTGGCCCGACCTCCCTGCGGCTCCCATAAGCTGGTGGGACCCCGTCCCAGGTCCCCAGAGGACCCCTGCCTGCTAGATGCTCCAGGCCTACTTTCCCCAACCTGCACTGAGAATGAGATTTCCTTCTTGAAGCACCTTGGTACCCCCTTCGCTCAGAGAGCCCCGACTCAAACCCCAGGCTGTGCCCCCGCAGCAGAGGGCTGGGGTTTATAATCCCCAAGCGTTCCCCAGGTCCTGGCTTGTTCTGTCTGAATATACTTCCAGTGACTTCTCACCTGCACGGGCCTCAACCATCCCCTCCACAGCAAGTTCGTTAGGAAAAACCACAGGACCTGGCGGCAGGATGTGTTGTAAAAGCGGGCGCTCTTCTCTCTGACTCTCTCCCATTCCCGGCACCAAGCGTCACTCATTGCTTCTGGCTTCCCAGGATGCTCCACGGTGGTCATCAGTTCACACCTGCCTCTCCTCCCCAGGCAGAGTTCATTTATTCCCCTCACTCAGTCCTCTCTCTGTTCTCTGCCAGGAAAATGGTAAATTAGTCCCTGACAAGGGCGTGTGTCAGCTTATTAAAAGAGTTCTGGACTTGCCCTGGCTGGGGTGGCGCTGTTGGTTGGAGCGTTGCCCCATATACAAAGATGTTGCAGGTTCAATCCCCGGTCAGGTCACATGTGAGAGGCAACTGATTGATGTTTCTCTCTCTCTCTCTTTTTCCTTCTTTCTTCTTCTTCTTCTGCTCCTTCTCCTTCTCCTTCTTCATAAAATAAAAAGAGTCTGGGCTTAGGATCTGGAAACCATTTTTTTATGGCTTCCTAACTCGCTATCTGTGTGCCCTCGGGTATCAGTTGATTTAACATAAAATGGAGTACATAATGCCAATATTACAGGAAAATTGTGAGGCTTAAAGAGACAATGTGAGTAAATATGTATAAGGAAATACTGCATTGATGAGAATTAAAATGTTTCATTGAATAGCTTTCAAACTGAACACAATTACAATATTAAATTTTCTATTCAATGCCAATGTTTGGCTTCTAAATAAAAGCAAATAAATTTAAAAATCAGCCTCATTTAATTGGACCCACCGTCTTCCACAAGGTTCTAGAAAACTTTTTATCAAGTCACTCATTCAATGCATGTTTATTGATGACCTACTATTGGTGACCACCGTGCAGTCAGGCACTGTGGCAGGCGTGGAAGTTAAGACGCCTGCCCTCACCGAGTTTATATTCGGTGGAGTCACACCTGACTTGCTGGGCCTGCTGATAAATCTACTTGAATGTGGTTACAGCGCTCCTGCTTCCTTCCTTATTCAGGCACCTGATTGGAGCAGGCAGCTGTGTGACAAGCGCCCCCTTGGGTAAGTGCTGAACCCGCCACGCCCACCCCTTGGCTCCATGTTGCCCTGAGAGTGGGTGCAGAGGCTGAGCTCTAGGGCTTGCGGCATGTGATGGCAACGCTCCTGTGTTGACGGTAAGCGAATTTCATAGACATAATGACACAACTGCTTGTACCTGGAAATCAATGACCTGGGGCTTTTTTATCTGATCCTCATTGATCACTTTATATAAAATATATTTTATAGAGTCGCAGACCCCTTTGCCATTCTGATGAAGACTCTGTATCTTCTTCCTAGAAAAAGGATTTTGTATTTGCCAATTTTAATGCCCAAAGATTTTTTAAAAAATATCGTGGTCCCCTGAAACTCATTTGTTTGTTCACAGGTCTGGAAGGCCTTACTTTCCTCAACTTCTTATGCTGAACTCCATCTGTGTGGATGTCCCCCGAACTGGTGGTTTCCTCTTGAAATGTAGGGAATTTGATTGAGAAATCGTGTAAAGTTTGGGCTCACCTACTTCCACATTAGCACCGTGATACAGGCTCTCTGTTGAGCAAGAGCATCGGGGTGAATGTTGTCCTGTGTCCGGCTGTTGTCATGAGGTGATGTGCGGGGAACCCCGGCCCAAGGGCTGGCCCGCTGGCCCCAAGCCAGTCACCCTGGATTGGCTTTCATTTCTTCTTCTCAGTTTGTGGCAATAAAACCAGCGTTCCTTTGTCTGTTTACATATTTGAAGGACCTCCTTTATTTCTGTTTGTATCCTTCCTTTTGCCTCTCACAAAATCCGATGCACACCCTCCCCGGTCACTCAGAGAAACCAGTGTGGGAGGTCTCCCTTTCCCCAGTCTTCAGAGTATGATCTCAGGGAGTAAAATGGTGACATTAATTCAGAATTAGTTTATGACATTTATTTTTCAATATGTTAGCCCAGATAATGGCCCACCAAAGACGTTCATGGCCTAGCCTGGGAAGCTGGGAAAATGAGTTTCTTTCTGTTTGTTTGTTTTTTTGGAATATATATTTTTATTGATTTCAGAGAGTATGGGAGAGGGAGAGAGAGAGATAGAAACATCAGTGATGAGAGAGAATCATTGAGGTGCTGCTTCCTGATCACCCCACACTGGGGATCGAGCCTGCAACCCTGGCATGACCGGAAATCGAACTGTGACCTGGTTCATAGGTGACACTCAACCACTGAGCCACGCCGGCCGGGCCGTGAGTTTCTTTCTTCGTTGCTTCTCAGTACTTCGCTCCTCGCAAGTGCAAGCACAGCACAGCCTTAGGGCCGAAATGCCCCAAGGGGTGCCCGTGCACAGAACCTCTAGCTCACGTGGACGCGTTTCCCTCCTCCACGGGGTCTCCCCTGTGTCCGCGAGAACTTGGCCTTGTCGAGGACGCCTGGCCTCGCTGGCTTTCCTCTGACACCTTCGAATGCTTCCAGCGGGAGGTTGTTTGGTCCCAGCGACTCCGTCCCAATCAGAAGTGGAAATACTCCTGTGTTTGGTTTTTAATTGATTCAATATTGAGACCCATTAAAAATTCAAGATGAAGAATGTAAACTATTTTGTGTCATCTTTATGGATGTTTTTATTGTTCTGCCTTTCCACTTGGGAGGAGTGATTGATTGCACACAGCAAAACGCGCAGATCTTCAATGTTCAATTAGTCTTGCCACGTGTGCATGCGCGTGTAGCTGTCACAGTATTTCAAATGGAGTTTCTTGCATTACCTGACTTAATGAGCACTCAGATAGCTCCGGCACGATAGTCAAGATGCATAAATCAAACAATTTTTATAATTTGGAATTTCACGAGGTTTATTTAAGGTGCTGTGGGAATTACCATTTTAATACAGCGCCCCCGCCACTGCGTGCA